AAGCTCCAGAGTGGTGGGAAGGCTCTGCCAACCCCAGTGCCCAGCTGTTCCTGCTGCTTCTGGCTGGACAGAGGTGGCTGAGCCCCACTCAGCTCCCCTGGGGAGAGCAGAGCTGTGAGCATCCCAAAGCTAGTGGCCAGCAGCTGCTGTGATACCCTATTTGCAGTGATGGCATGTCCCTCTCCCACGACCGTGGGGAGCCAGGCCAGGTCCCCAGACACCCTCTGGCTTAGGTCACCACCCCGAAGTCCAGGAGGCTGTGCACAGCTGACCCCACAAATTGCTGTGGGGCTGCAGCTCAGTCTCTCGACTGGCTGCCATTGAGCTGCAGCCCTGAGGTTTCCCTAGGGCTGGTGGGACCAACCTTCACCTGCTCTCCACGGGCTCTCACCGGCTGCAAGCTCAGCCAAGGATGGGGAAGAGCTGAGGGCTGTGTGGCTCTGGGGGACCGAGCACAGTGAGGTCTGCCTGACCCCAGAGATGACTGCACGCTGTGGTTCTCCCAGCCTGTTTATTTGTCCGGGCATGGAGGCAAAGTGTTCCCGCTATGCAAAGAGCGGGCGGAACGGGCCCGTGGCTTGCATGCCAAGCAGCCACCCATCAAAGCTGGGTTTGTTTGGCCACCAGCCCCCGGCAGAGCCATCGTTCCCGCCCTGCCTCACTTCCCTGCCTTGCTCTCCGGCTCTCTCACCAGGTTAAGCAAGTTGTCCAACTTTGCAATTTCCACCTCGGGGCCCTTCTTAACCTCCTGGCCTTTCTTCGCCTGTAAAGAGAGCAAACCTGTGAGCAGGGAGGACTGCGGGCATGGGGAGGGGTCTGGTGTAGAGAGGGATGCTGGACTGCTGTGTCCCAGATTGCAGCCCTTGGTGGGAGCAGATCCAGAGTGGGATGCACTTGCCTGTCCCTGTGTTTGAAGTCCAAGGGGCCATGAGATGTGTAAAAGCCTCCATGGGCTAGGGCAGGGCAGTAAGGAAGGGTTTGGGTGGGGATGGGAGTGTATCTGCTGATCTGCCATGACACAAACCCTCTTTTGCCCCTCTTCTCACAGCCCTTCTGAGCCCCATGGGACTGGACCGTGCTCTAAACCCCCAGGTTCTCCCCCCAGACCCCAGGGAGGTGCCAGTCATAGAATCATGGAACAGTTTGTCTCGGAAGGACCTTTAAAGGTGATCTGGTCCAATCTCCCAGCAGTGAGCAGAGACATCTTCAACTACATCAGGTTGCTCAGAGCCCCATCCAACCTGACCTTGAGTGTTTCCTGGGATGGGGCTTCTTCCACCTCTCTGGGCAACCTGTGCCAGTGTCTCACCACCTTCATTGTAAAAAATTTCTTCCTGATACCTAGTCTAAGTCTACTATCTTTCAGTTTAAAACCATTTCCCCAAGTCTTTTCACTACAGGCCCTGCTAAAAAGTTTGTTCCCATCCTTCTTATAGCCCCCCCTTTAAGTATTCAAAGTCCTCAATAAGGTCTCCCTGGAGCCTTCTTTTCTCCAGGCTGAACAGCCCCAAAATGCACAATTCCTAGGGGAGTTGCAGTGATGTGGATGTCAAAAACCTCCCCAAAATAGTCCCCCCATACCCATTCCATGCTCCTGGGGAGAGGGAGCCACAGGAGCAGGCATTGGCCCTTTTGCACCCAAATGTGTTTCCCCAGGAGGGCAGGTGGGTGCTGAGAGCCCCCAACCCTGGGGGATAAGGGAACCCCAGGTGGGCTGTTAGCTTGTCCCTGTGGGTCTCTTGCCCCTGGGCACACCCCAAACCTCCCATGGCACAGCATGTCCCTGTGCCTCATTGCACACTGTTGTGTGAACCTCAACACATGCCCCAGCATGAGCAGGGAGTTTAAGCCCTTCCCCAAGCCCCAGAGCACCCATCCCAACCCTCCCAGGGCCTCGCTCCCCAGTGCTACAGCAGACTGCCAGCATCTTGGGAGAAATCACGTAGCACAAGGGAAATAAGCCTGTCTGGTTCAGTCCTCACTTGCTTGGGAGCAGCAGGAGCTTCCAGGTCTGGTGGGAGATATGTCCCTGCTAAGGGTACCAGTGCCACTCAGTGCTTCAGGTAGAGTGTGTCCTCCCTGCTATGGGCTGCAGCATCAGTGCATTGCTCTCGTTGGAGCTCTGGGGCTTTGGGAAAGTGATAATCAGGTTTGGGCTCTCCAGATACATATCATGGCACACGCAAATGCAGCAGAGGACTTTTCCAACCTGCATTCAGCCCACCAAGCCCTCCTGCAGCTCAGCATTCTACCTTGCAGGGCTCCTCCAAAGCAGCATCCACCTAGTTGCTGCATCCTGTCACTCAGTGCTGCCTTCTGCTCACAGCCTTCCCCTTTACCAGCCTGCTAGCTCTTGCTTTGCCTCTGGAACTGGGGGTGGATCCCTGCTCTGAGGCTGTGAAGCTCCTCTGTGCCCAGCATGGCTCTGGGTACCTCAGAAAGCAGATGCCAAGCACAGGCGAGCAAGAGGGCTGGTACCCAGTCTGACAGGCAGGCTCAGGAGAGGCGGCAGCAGGTCCCCAACACAGTGGCACAGCAAGTGGGAACATCACAAACCAGGCTTGGAGACAGCCCAAGGAAAGCTGCTGTGCTGGCTCCTGGCATCCCCAAAGCATGGCCACTCCATGGGGATGCTCTTGGGAGGCCAAGGGAGCAGCGCACAGCATCTGAGCAAGGAGGCCACTTGCTTTCTTCTCTCCCTGCTTAGGAAAAATCAATTGTCCTCCCGCTGAATCAGCTCCTCTAATGGCCCTGGGTGCAGCAATTACAAACACGCACCTTTCCTTCAGTGCTGGAAAGAAACGCTGGGGCACAGCAAAGAGAAAGCGGTAGGGCTGCAGGGATCTTGCTATGTGTCTCCAACGAATGTGGTCATCGCTGAAGGCGCTGACTGCTGGGAAATAGGTCCCCAGAGGATCCCTGGGCTGCTCCCTTGTCCCAGCCCAGCACAACCCTGACAGAGCAGAGGCTTCCTTGGCTGCCAGAAGGCACAGCTGGGATGAAAGCTGCCCTGGGTAGGGGAATGGGGACATTTTGAAACCCCTCTGCTTCCAAGAAGACAGCCCTGCTCCTTGCTCAAGTGCTGGGATAAGCCAGGGTTGTTTTTATTTACCAAGTCCATCGATTGCATGCCGGAATGGAGCTGGTTTTTATTAACACTGCTTAGTGAGCAACGCCCTTTGTGGCTCTGGTCCGGGCATTAGGAGCGATGTTTGTACTAACAGCCCACGTCACAGCCGAGCATCTCTCTGAGTGAGAGCGTTGGGATAAACACAGCTGCTCGGGGTATTTCGGGACTTCGCTATTTCTGTGGAAAAGCTGCTTTGCTATCTGATGATGTTCAAAACACTCCCTTTGGCACCCTGTGTCACATGCAGCACCATACACAGGTCATTGGGACAGGCTAAAGGGGCAACTGCTTTGCTCAGTCAGGAAAAGGAGATGATGAAGCCATCTCCCACCAACTTAATTCCCTTCCAAGCCCTTCATTATCCCCACTGGCAGGGTTCAGGGACGGTCCCTAACTGATGCCCTCCAGGTAGTAACACCAGGTCGATGGGAACTGTGTCTGAGCCTTGCTGAAGTCACCAGCCACAGGCAAGGCTCAGTTCCTAGTTGCTGAGCTGTCCCTAAAACCTTGACTTTCACAGTCTCAGCTCCTTTGGTGCTTCTGAGCAAGCTGCAACAAAGCCACACGCAAGCCTGTAATGAGCCGTAACCGAACCAGAGCCCCAATTTAACGCCACATAACCAGGCAAGCAAGATGACACAGGGAAGGAAAATTACAATGTCCTTTTGGGGGCACTGGAATGGAAAGTTTCCCTTTATTCCTCCATCTGCTTTTCCCGGGGCGGCTGTGTATGTGAGCTGGCTGTGCCACTGCAGGCTGTCTGACAGCACCACCACGGCATCCGCCTGGATGCACGCAGCAGCTTCCTACAAATCCAGGGGCTTTGCCTGTGTCAGGCCTCTGAGGAACAGCCCTTCTTGGAGCAGAGCTGCTGGAATTTCCCAGAGCACACGTGATGAAGGGAAGCATCACCTCCGTGCACAGCTGCCAACAGGCTCTCCCTCCCGTCACATGCCATGGCCAGCTGTGGAAAGGGGCTTTGCCACCCGGCATGTAGCTGAGCCTGTCCTCTGCCTGCATCCCTGCTTACACCACATCCATGGGGCTCATCACGAGCTGAGAGGGAGCCGGGGCAGAGCATCCACCCCACAGAGCTGACAGATGCAGAGCTGAGCTTACATGGGAGGTCTGCCCCCGAGGAGCTCATTGAACGGATACCGGAGCTGCTCACAGCAGTGTTTTCATTGATTTTATCATCAGCAGTTCCCAGTAGAAGAGCAAAATGCTGTTGGCTGAAATGGTGATGAGGGATGCATCAAGAAAGCTCATGTCAGGGGCAGAAAAGGCTTTGCAAGGGGATGGTCTCTGCCCTGTTGAAAGGGCATGACCTCTGAGAGGTGAGCTGTGGAACAGAACAGACCTCCTACGTGTCCCCATGCTGATGTGTTCATGGCCAAGTCCCCCACTGCCCTCACACTCCCTTTGCCTTATCCCCAGGCTGTGCTCTGGCTCTCCAGGCAGGGAAACCGAGGCCTGGGGCTCCTGGCCTTATTGGCAGAGGGGACACAACTGCTGCAGGACCCTTGATGGTCCTCTCAGTCACAAAGGTGAGAACTGACACTGGAAGCATGGGGTGTAAAATGACTGAGGTGGAGCTCCAGGGGTGAGGGCAGGGAAGGACACGGACCAGGATGAGGACTGGCTATTTGAAGACCCCAGATCCATTGCCCTGGGAGCCCTAGCCCCAGATCTTCCCACACTGACACATACTGAACTCTACATCCAGGATATGGGAGTCATTTAAACTGGATTCCCTGTGTCTTGGCTGATGCCTTCATTCCCTTGCTGAACAGTAAACCGCTGAGTTAATAAAACTCTCCCATAAAAGCCTTGATGCTGGTGCTTTGCAGCATCCTTTTTTTTTTCCCATTGGTGGAATAATCATAAAACATCTGCTGTAGGGTTTTGATTAAACAAAGCAAAACATGTTTATGTTTTAAAGTAGCAAGGAAGTCAGCCATGCTGGCATGAACATAGACAGGAAAGTCCCCAGAATTTCCCCGGGAGCAGAGAGGACCCTTCCCCTTGCTGAGTCCTGGCCAAGGGGAATAGGCCTGGCTCTACCCTGCTGCTGTCATGACAGAGTGTCCCAGTCCCTGCCATTCCTGTCAGGATGGGATTTCTGGGCACAGCTGTGCTGGGACAGGATCTGGCCATGTTACAAACCAGCCCAGTGAGCTAGGACATCAGCTTCCCACGCAAAAGGAGTTCAAGCTTTTACAGACTGATTTTGAAGTGAGTGAGAAGCTCCAAGAAGCCATCAACAAAGCTGTCCAAAACTCCTACCCTTATTATCCTCGGTGGGAAGGGGCATACAGCCTGATAGGACTTCAGAGGTAAATTGCTTCTGGAGAAGATGTTTTCTTGTTCTTTCTGCTCTGCTTAGGGGTAGGTCAAGGAGACAACTCTAGAGTAAGGGCTCTTCCCTTAGAAAACATACCAGCGATAGGTCAAGAAAATTAAATGAATGAAAGCAAAGAAGAGACTTCCCTGGAACACTCTGTTACAAGGAAACCCAAACTCCTTCATGAACTCAGCAAAATTTTCCTCACTGGCTGCCTGAGCCAGCAACCAAACATGCATCAACAAAGGTGTGGGATACAACCTGCAGCCCTGAAGCCTTCCAAAACCTA